CACCCAACTGCTTGACTACTTCAGGAAATCAAACACCCCTCCAGAGCAAATGCGCACACTGGCCCTTGAGACAATCAATGTCAACTCTCCTGGAGGTCAATGGCTCCACGTCTTTACTGATGGGTCATACATAGAAAACCAAGCAAACGTTGGTGCAGGTGTCTATTCTGAACTCTTCTCTTTCTACGTAGCAGAGGGACACAATAGATCCGCTTTCGAAGGAGAAATAGAGGCCATTAGGATAGCACTATGCCAATTATGTTGCCTGGATACAAAATTCACCAAAGAGGTGATACTTTCGGACTCACAGCCAGCAATAAACTCAATTGGAAACAGAGAGCCATCCAAAACAGCTGAGATAAAGGAATGTAGAAAACTCTATGAGCTGCTGAGAGAGAAAAACAAAACAGTGGTCCTACAATGGATTCCTGGTCACTGTGGCATTAAAGGCAATGAGCTTGCTGACACACTTGCTAAGAAGGGGGCAACGATTTTGTAATGCATGGACTGGCCGATGTCTTTCTACACAATGAAGGCCTTTATCAGAAGAGAATTCCTGACCTCAAGGTGTAAAGAACTTAAAGCTCGAACACAGACAAAACAGTGGACAGTGGCACTCTCCGATATAACCGACTGGCAATTGGAAACAGAGAGCCATCCAAAACAGCTGAGATAAAGGAATGTAGAAAACTCTATGAGCTGCTGAGAGAGAAAAACAAAACAGTGGTCCTACAATGGATTCCTGGTCACTGTGGCATTAAAGGCAATGAGCTTGCTGACACACTTGCTAAGAAGGGGGCAACGATTTTGTAATGCATGGACTGGCCGATGTCTTTCTACACAATGAAGGCCTTTATCAGAAGAGAATTCCTGACCTCAAGGTGTAAAGAACTTAAAGCTCGAACACAGACAGACCTCAAGGTTCAACGAACTCAAGAACAAAGGGGAAACAGTGGACAGTGGCACTCTCCGATTAGAGGAGAAATAGTGGACAGTGGCACTCTCCGACATACCCGGCGGGCCAAGAATCGAAGCCGTTGCTGAGTTTAGACTACGTACCTGACACGGGCTTGGCAAAACATTTCACAGACTGGGAGTATACACTCAACCCACATGCCCTCTGGATTGGGAGTATACACTCAACCCACATGCCCCCTATGTAGCCTGGGAGTATACACTCAACCCACATGCCCTCTATGTAACCTAAGAGTATACACTCAACCCACATCCCCTCTATGTAACCTACAGGAGGAAATGGTTTCACTAAACCCACATGCCCTCTATGTAACCTACAGGAGGAAACGGTCAACACACATGCCCTCTATGTAACCTACATGAGGAAATGAAAAAGACCCACCTGATTCGATCTCCAGCTCTATGACAACGACGGAAAGCCAGAGATACTGGGAAGCAAGAAGAGGGACGACAGGACGGAAAGCCAAAGATACTGGGAAGCAAGAAGACTGCTGATGAACGAAGAAGACAGCTAATGAATTTCTATAATTAACTGCTATAAAGACCCACCTGATTCGGTGTCCTGCCCTAAAGACAACGACGGAAAACCAGAGTACGGGGAAGCAAGAAGACTGCTAATGAACTGCTATTAATTAACCGCTATAAATGTAAGAAGCAAGAAGACAGCTAATGAATTGCTATTAATGAACTGCTATAAATGTAATTAAGCCAGATACGGGGAAGCAAGAAGACTGCTAATGAACTGCTATTAATTAACCGCTATAAATGTAAGAAGCAAGAAGACAGCTAATGAATTGCTATTAATGAACTGCTATAAATGTAATTAAGCCAGAGATACTGGGAAGCAAGAAGACGGCTAATGAACTGCTATTAATTAACTGCTATAAATGTACCCCCACCCTTGGGGAAGCTGAAGTCAAAGTTTAAGGGCTAATGATAAATATCACAAAGCCACCATTTGAAATAAATAAATATATATATTAGCGTATCAAAGCTAGCTGCTCTTCAAAATTAACCCTTGTGTAATATCCTGAACGGGTGTTTGGGAAAATGATTTTGTTCCTTTGATCTTGAGGCAATGGACTCACCTGCAATGTTACAAATGCTTGCTATTTACCATAGTTTTTGGAAGTTGGCCTTTCCATCATAAATATTTTCAACAACGTAATAGGAAGCTAGAGATTTTAAAGTTAACTAAAAGATTTGACATTTTAATAAGTTCAACAATAACAATTTCTCCCCTTCTACGTCATGGGATAAAATTGGTTTAACAACCAATATTGTCATTGACATTAAAGCTAAACTTATATAATAATTTTATGTATTTTTGTTCCAAATTCTTAAGCTAAAACATAAACGAAACTCCGTCTTTTATTTTCAACAAAAATACCATTTCGACGAAACGCGCGTTTAGTATATCTTATTTTTCTTCGTTGTAAAGCTTAACTAAGCAAAATGGCAATTATCGAAATATGTATCAAAATAATTTCAAGAACATATCGGAATATTTTCATTTCAGAATTCCATGGATATTATTACAGGGGAATTTTTAAAATTTTCCTTTATTTTGCTATGCCACTCCGATACGACGAGTGGTATCGGCGTTGTGAACCGCGGTTTTTGATATTCAACTTAACATGAGCTCTGATAAGCCAAAGCCGAAGGATGTACCAAATACTATTTTCGATAAGAAAACATCGAAAACCTTCTTAAAAGGAAAGTTCCTCGGCAAGGTATGACTTTACTCTTTGCGAATTAATTTTAAAGGGAGGTTTTGCGCGGTGTTATGAGATGACAGAAAAAGATACCGGAGTAAAATTGGCTGGAAAAGTAGTCGCTAAGACCGAGCTGGTAAAAAAATCTCAAAAAGAAAAGATGCAACAGGAGGTGTCCATCCACTCCAAGTTGAATCATGAAAATATTGTTGGCTTTCATTTGTCATTTGAGGACAATGATTTCGTGTATATTATCCTGGAATTATGTCCGAGAAGGGTAGAATTGTCATTGTTTGTATTATTTCGTAGACTTTGATGGAATTACATAAAAGACGTCATCAAGTTTCTGAGCCTGAAGCTCGCTATTTCATTAAACAAGTTGTTCAAGGATGTCAATACCTTCATGTGAATCGGATTGTCCACCGTGACCTTAAACTGGCGAATTTGTTTCTAAATGATGAAATGGTTGTAAAAATCGGAGATTTCGGTCTTGCTTCTACAATTGAAAACGACGGGGAAATGAAGAAAACCCTCTGTGGTACCCCCAATTACATTGCTCCAGAAATTCTGCATAAACACGGTCATAGCTTCGAAGTTGATTCTTGGTCTGTGGGATGTATTCTGTAGGATTAAGATATATTTAAATGACTTTTTAGATACACTCTTATTGTCGGTCGACCTCCCTTCGAAACTAGTTCTCTTCAGGAGACTTACGATAAAATTAAAAAGAATGATTACAAAATCCCCAGTTGTGTTTCTCTGACGGCTTCGTCCCTGATTCGTGCTTTTCTTCAAGCTAATCCCCAGAAACGTCCGAGCATGTTTAGTGCCTTGGAACACTCTTTTTTCCAATCATTTACGCCCTCTTGTCTCCCTGTTAGTGCTCTTACGACATGTCCTCGATTTGACAATCTCTCTAAGTCCGGAGAACGGCGCCCGTTGGCATCCCTTGATGACAATCTTGACGTTACAACAGTTAATATCAACCTTGATCGACAATATATCTCAGATGATTGTTGGCTCACTTCTCTTTTTGAAAAGGTAAACATCATTTTGTACGGCCTTTCATTCATATTGATTTAGTTAACCGATCTTCTTAATGCCCCGGTTTTGGCAAGTACAAATACTAATGTAATGGAAGAAAGCGAAGATCCTGCTTGTATTCCAATTTATTGGATCTCTAAATGGGTCGATTACTCCGACAAGTATGGCATTGGATATCATATGTGTGATTTCTCAAATGGAGTTCTATTTAACGACGAAACTCGTCTGCTTTTCACAGCAAATAAAGAAAATCTGCAGTATATTGACAGTGACGGAAATGAATTTCTCTACACTAAGGATGATTATCCAGAATCACTGAAAAAGAAAGTCACTCTACTGAATTGCTTTACGAACTACATGCAAGACAATCTTCTTCATGTATGTTAATCTCTATCTGCGTGCCATCTAAATTCACATTCCAAATAATCTTGTCAATCATTTGCTTAATTAGACTAATTATCTTATAGGTGGGAATTTGAGCTGTATTGGGAATGTTGATGAGTTCAATTATTGTTTATTTTTCTTTAGACTGGTGCGGACATTACTCGTCGCGAGTCGGACAACATGGCCCGCTTGCCCTTCCTTCGTAGCTGGTTCCGAACTCGTGTTGCCATTGTTCTTCATCTTAGCAACGGGACGCTCCAGGTACGTAACATTTTTAAATCTTTAATTTTAAAACTTGTGTGGTATTAAAGAGTGTTGAATTCTGTTTTAGCTCAATTTCTTCGATGATCATTCCAAAATCATTCTTTGCCCATTGATGGAAGCAGTCACTTATATTGATCCTGATCGTCAATTCAAAACCTATCGGTTCAGTTTATTGGAAAAACACGGAGTAAACGAGATTCTGATGAAACGTTTGAAGCATGCTCATGAGATGATTAAGTCCAAGCTTCTCCACCGTATTCGAAAATCGCGTACAAGAGGCAATGATATTTTTGCCTACGCGAGAGGCGAAGCCCGGGAGAAAAACCCGAATGAGTAGGAAAACTATTGCCTGTTTCTCACTTGTTCGTAATATTTTTTGATATCTTCCTCCACTGTGTTTGTACCTCCTAAAATGGAATTGATGGCTGCTTCTGCTGATTTTTAAACCCTTTCTTGAATGTTGTATAAATCTTAATTCTTGTTATTAGTTTAGTCGTGCTATTATTAGTGTAATATTTTTTGTGTCTGTTCTAAACAAGTTAGGTTACGTCCTTTGTTTATACTGCACCAACTTGGTGCATTTGGTCACGTCGTTGGTTTCCGTTTATTATTTCTACACTACTTAAATAATTGAGTAGCTATTAATTTGAAGTTGAGACCGAACAGTTTTGGTGCTATATCAATGGAAGGGCCTTCGTTATTCGTTTAGTAAATTGGCAGTCGATGGGGTTTTGTAGACAATATATCTTTACTTCACTTTGACATTTACTTAAACAATCAATCTGAGCGCCGCATCTTGTCTAAGTTAAATTTAACCACCTGGGGTTCTTTTCATGTGGTTTATAGTATTCGGGGTGGGCATAAATTTAGGGTTATAACTTCTTCATTTGATTGCTTACTAATGGGAAACGAGACATGCTGATTGCAATTCTATCACTTCAAAATAATTTTAGCTCTTATTATTCATGACACCAAGAGTAATAATCTTTTCATTCAGAAGTTTGAGTGTAAAATTTTGGAAATTATGATTGATAAATTGGATGAGAAGCTGATTTAATTTGATACCAAATCAGCATTATACGTGGGTACGTTTCATACTTTTCAGAATTCAAAGGAATATCTCTTGATTGTTGGGTGAGTTCCTGTGCCCAATGTTAGAAAGTCATTAATAGGATTGTTTCAATGTCCTAGCGCATCAGTCTTAACTATTTATATCAAGTAGCAAGCTTTATGATAATTATCATTAGTCCTTAAGTTGACTTCGGGCTTCATAAAAGGGAGGAACTTCAAAGTGAGAAAAAGTCGAGAGGGGGAACTGAAGAGTGATTCACAGGTGGGTTAGGTACCGCAAAAGGTAAGGCGAGTACTGTGGCAGTAGTTGAATGCGACATGCAGTGGTGTCTTGGTAGTTTGAAGTCGGAAGTCAACTGTCGGTTTGCGGACAGGTGGAGCTTAGCCTATCGTGCACCCCTCTTAAATGTAGCAGTTAGCTGACATTGGGGTAGAGTTAATACCTCACCAGAGCCGAAATGAGTTCTCTAAAAATCGAATAGAGCTCATGCACACGCGCTAGTTCATTGGACGTTTCTGCCCATTTTGGTGATTACCCACATCAAACTGGCTCAATTGTACGTGTTTTTGCAGAGATGAGTATCTTACGAAAAAAAGATTTATAGTCGTTATCTCATTAAATGTGCGATATGGACGGATTGGGCGATGGGGGGGGGGATTTCCGAATGGTCAGACGGTTCACTGGCACTCATATTACCAGTATTCCAGGCTATGGCCTTCTTTCTTCTTCATGTTCGCGAGTCTTTTTCAATAAAAGCTGTGAGTGCGCTCTATATTTTAACTATTTTTTTTCCTATAAAATTTTCCAGAACAAGGACAGTGATTGTCACTTGGTGGCTTTTGTGTTTGGTTTTGATAGATGAATTCTTAACGTAATTGGTGTTTTGTAATTGCCAAAGAAGCCAGAACTGTTCTTTTTCTTTTAGCTTGAAAGGACGTTTTATTCGAAATCCTTGACGCCCTGGAAAATAGTCTTAAATCTAAAGTGTCCAAGTAAATGGCTCAGATATTTGTCATCATTGAACACAACGAGTTGGTTAATATGGCAAGATTTTTTCGATCCTACTATTCCATCTGATCCAAATTAAGGCTTGATCTATTTTAACGTGAAATTGAATAGCAAAATTTTAATAGCTAGGAACCCCAAGCGACCAAACAATTTATTTATTTATAACAAATGGCAGGCGTTTTGATAGTCATCATTAGCCCTTTAATCGACTTCGTGCTTCACAGAGGGGAGGAGGAATATCAAAATGAGAAGAATTCGGGAGGGGGAATAGAAGAGTGATTCGCAGATGTAAGAGAAACAGACAGACACAAAGGCTCAGAAAGGGTAAGATGAGTACTGACGTAGGGGTCGAATATGACATACAGTAGGGGTGATGGTTGTTTAAAGTGAGAAGTCAACTGCCCGTTAATAGGCTTTTTTTGCCGTATGATTATATGTTGCCTATGGTGCACCACGCTGAGGTAAGTCTATCCCACACCTCGCAACCAAACAATGATAGACCGATTCCTAGACTGGTTCAAGAGACTGATAAGTACTGACAACCCAAAGAAAAGGTAGCAAAATACAGTGCATAGGACATCGTAGCGAATAACCCATCTTTGGTATTATCATCAAAGTACTCTCCGACCACAGGAATAAGCAAATTAAATGAAATAACGTGTTCAACTATTCAGTTAGATTGATTGGGCAATTGGGTTGGAATTCGCGGATGTAATCTCCTAGTGAACTTCTCCTAATTAGGGGAAGTTGCTAGACTTCAAATAAAATATGACTATTGTTGCACCCTCTACCTCAATAGGTCTTCATCTTACGTTATGGGAAATTAAAATCGATCGACGCCTTGCGAGTGGTTTTCTGACTCAACAAGTGTTGCTATTTACAGCCGTCTCAATAGCGTTAATTTCCAACGGAACCTTCACATCGGATCCTCCTTTCACCAATAGTACTAATAGTATAAATTAAAAATTCTAATGGCTCTCTTGGGAATTGCAAGCTATTAATTTTTTTTTGATTTAGCTCGTGTTTTCTTCGATTTCGCAATTGATTTTGTAGAGTCAAAATTTTAAATTTGTCTGGCAAATCGACACAGAAAGATTTTTACTAACTAGACCACTTATATGCATATAAGGAAGTAAGCTTTATTTGTGTGATACAAAATAATCAATTCCATATTAAATAAAAAGGGAAGCTTATTGAGTCATAGGCATTATTTGGAGATTGAGGTGTACTCAATTAAAAGTAAGCATGCTTTAGGCTAATTCCTCTGTGAAAGAGATTGGTTTCAAAATGTGCCGTTGAATTGAGTTTAGTTTTTCGATTATCTATAACCCATTGAATGGTGGCACTTTCAGCTACATAAGGTTCAGTGTGCTTTAATTTGACTTTAATTCTCACCCGCCCCCCCCCCCCACCACCCCCAATTCCCCTCCCCTCCGAAATTCCATATTCGCCATAGAATTTGAGTTTTGCACAAATGAAGGACTTCGACACTTATAGTTAGTACAAAACACTTCTACTGTAGCCGCTCAACCATATAGTCATGTTTTGGCACTAATCCGTGATGGGATGCCCTACCGGACTAAGAGTTCTTGCAGGTTTGCTAAACATGAAGAGAGGAAACTCTGTTCAAGCAGTCACGAAACGCCACCTTATTCTGCACGCACGCTTATCCTAATTATGCACTAAGCAACAGGATGCCTGTGAATTCTTATTTAGTAGTCACCAAGTGGACGACAATTTAATCCATTGACTAGCACTGGAGTTCGAGAGATCTAATGAGGAGGTGGAGGGTGTGGTGGGGGGGGGACATTCAGTGTGCTTACTGTTGATCATCTTGAGAGGTCGATGCATTGATATTCCCCAGAGACTCGGCTTCAGGATACCTCCCTCCAATCAACTCAGACATTGTTGAGAATGTCTGCAATATGCCTGGAAAACTGGAATTTCATCATTTACAGCTCAAAAATAACTCCAATTGTTAAGTTTGTCACCACATTTCCCTCTCAATTATGTCTGAGCAATAAAAGATGGTTGGAGCTCAAGTTGAAAGGTGCGTGAACTGAGTATTTTCGGAGCCGACCACAACATTAAAGAAAGTTAAATATGAAGTCAATAGAGAACATGGAAAATACCAGATTTATTAGGGTGCTATCTTTAAAGGGGTCATTTTTTCAGCTGGAAAACCCAAATAGGTGCACTCAATCATAAAACGTTGATCTCATTTTCATTGTGACTAGGTATGGTAATTGCTGGGCACTGTATGATATGCACAATATGAGGAAGAAATTGTCTAAAATGAGAAATACAATAAATTGATTAAATCGCTCAACAAAATGTAGCAAAGTTGCACAGGCAAATGAAACAATAGTAATCAAATCGATTATGATGCAATCAGAAGTCAAACAATTGACTAGGTTCTAGAGAATAGTAGGAGTGATTCAAACATAGTTGCCTTCGATCAATTGCTTCAATCATATTCCATTCAAACACAATACCCACTTTGATTCCAGTATGCAACGCATTCAAAAAAATGAGTCCACAAGTGCCAAAAGGCTTAGGCACGAAATCTCTCATCACTAATGTCTTGACTGCTAACTGTCCCGTAGAATACATTATCGTTTTGTCTTCGCGTGGCTTTGGAAATAGTACCACAATAAATAGAACTTGTGGATTGTGTAATACGCAAACGCATTCCAGAGAACTGTAAATACGAAATCAGCACAATTTTGTACCTCAATTTATATTATCTATGTCAACATTTCAGTGTTTTGGCCAATTGATCTCAACTTTGCACTATTCTCAGTACCTTCATGCTGTCAAAGTCATGTGAAATACGTTGATCATAATTGTGAATGATTTGATAGAGCCAATAATGCAGGTTTGTGCAATAAATTTGACAAGTCAACTTACATGGATGTGTAAGTATGGTTTTCATCAGGAAATCACCAGTTGTGTAGTTAGTGACAAAGTAGAGGAAACTGATGAGGTTGGCAACTTGAAGTAGAGCACAGGCTCCTGTTCGAATACGATGTTCCCAGGCTGGCGAAAAACGGTTCACCTGTTAGAATCACAATGGGAAAACGATTTGACATTGTGGCACATTCTTCAGAGTCGTGGCTTATTTCTACTCTTCAAGTTATTACAACTCACCAAATATTCACTCGTATTGTTCTTTCGGAAGTACTGAATGGCAATTCTCTCGATCAACCAGAATGTGAAGCTGAGCATAACCCAGATTTCTGTTAAAAGAAAACAAA